TTAGTTTATTCCGTAACCTGATATGGTAAAGTCACGTGTTAATAACTTTTGTCATTACAATCAATGATTTTTTTTATCATTATGCAATAACGATAAATGTAAAACAAAAAGAATTAATCAGTAAACAATAATAACGTTGAGGGCTGATTTGATTTCTAAAAATGACCTAAATCGGACCGGAATTGGACAACTTTAATTGATTGTGACAAATTAGAACTTAGGACCGTGTTACGCAAATTACACAATGAAAGTTTAAGTACGTACAAGTTTCAGTAGATTAGATTTCTCATATTGATTGATATGGTATCACAAAAATTTGGTCAGTACTAATACTAAATTTCGTAGTTTGATAATCCATATTGTAGCGCAACCATTATCAAGACATTTAACGTTAAACGTTAAATGACTAAAAAATTAAATTATGTAAATTATCATATGTTCAGAATACGATTATATCAGATGTGATCAAATTTATCAAAACTCATGCAAAGTTACATAAAGATAAATTACAATCTTTACCAAGGTTAACCAACGTTTAATCAAGCATGTACGTACATCATATCATACAAACAATTAAACATATTTGAGGTGAAGTGTAAAGTTAGCGTTAGCCACTGTGCATAACTTTTCTACATTTGCATAAATTAATTGAGCAATTTAACCATAAAAATTTTTGATTTATTTTTAAAGAAAACTTTAAAGATCTGTTTAACATGATGTAGTACTTTTATGTAAGCACAAAAAAAAATTTTCCATGAGATGGAGTGTGTAACATAATGCCATTTGAAAAATATCTAAATGAAACAAAACGGATATTATCTCACTAAAGGAATTCTCTTCTTAACGACAAAACAAAATGACTGTTGGTACTGTTGGTGCTTGTATTGCTATTTTTTTATCGCTTATAGCGTTAGTTTTCGTGCTTTTTTCCTTTTCTTGGGTTGAGCCTGAAATTCCGGATCAAGTCCCTTACCGGTTCACCGGTTATTTGACTTGGCTTCCTAAGTTAGATGGTTTGTTAAATTCTGATTTCTACGTCTATATATTTTATTTACCAATGAATTTTTTGATTAATTAATGTTTTAATTGCTGCCATTTTATGTTAAATAATGAAATAGGATTCGACGGCAACAAGCTTGATGCTACACTGTTGTTCAACCAGATTATTTTGCTTCTTTCCAGTTACTATGCATTAAAATGGACATATAATCCTCCCACTAGTCCTAAACTTATCACTCGTTTTGCTCACATTGGTGAAAATGATGTTACGGTTACAACTCACTATTTTGATAGTATCTTGGCTCTTTATATTGTGATGACTCTCTTAGCTGGTGTCGCCATATTCCTTTTTGGTGTTGGTAAAATATGGGTTGCTGTTGGTGTACTTCATAATGCTGCTGAATTCACTGTTCTTGTTATACTTGGTTCTGGTGGAAAAATCAAGTCTCAAATATTTTGGCCCATTCTCGGTTGTTACATTTCTTTAGTTACAATTTTTTCAATTTTCTTCAAATTCCCTTATGATGCTGTATGGTTCAAAGGCCAAGGTAAATCATTTGATTATTTTTATCAAAACGCTTGGTTTCGTTTTCATAAATATTTCATAAATATTTAATAAATCCAGGTTTATGCTTCGATTGGGCCCTTGTAATTGAATTCACCCGTATATATATAACTACTCTTCGCGTGCTTAAGAATGGCGACGGCACAGACCTTGTCAATACACATGATCATGATAATGATGAGCACG